ATTCCTCTGAATCTCAAACAACAAAGGTCCAGACAACATCTCAATCAATAGCCACAACAAAAATCTAATCAACAAACAAGCAATGATCTTAGTCACATTACGAAGCGTCTTAGTCTTTGCAGGTTCAGCTACTTTTTCATCAAAAAAGAATTTCCATGCTAGTAAAGCAAGCCCTAACCATAAGCAATTCTGCAGAGTCTTTCGCACACTGTAAAGGAAGTACATAACCCTCTTCCTCAGAAAGAAATTTCTTTCGATAAACAACACAACTATCTTCTCACGCAAGAAACGTGTGGAAAGCGTGCAGACCAAGGCAGATATGATCAGAACCAAACTCAACAACTCCAATACAAACCATAAGCTGAACTTATCTCTCCTATACTCTTCTGGTAGATCCTCTTCAGGTGAAGAATCGTCTTCTTCCTCCTGCCCTAACTTCGGTAAGAACATCACAACTTTGGCTAAACTGCTCTTGATCAACTGTTCCAGCTTCAACCTGCTCATGAAGTTGGGTTTTGATCTCAGATCATCTCCTTCCCCAACCTGCAGTTCAGCGTGGCCGCTGAATGTTATCAGCTTTCCTCTCCATGGTTCCTCTGTTAGCTCCAAGATGGGAAAACTAAGTGCGACAGAGACCTCCATTGGATCGCCATTCATATATCCCGATACATCAGAGATAGCGATACAGCTCATCAGCGAGCCTATATGCATCAAATCATTCACCATTTGTTTCCACTGCAGCTCAGCGACTTGTCCACCGTCTCTTCCGTCTAGCTTACTGATAATCACAGCACATGCAGAAATTTTCGTCTTCCCTTCTCTCGAGTCTTGGAGATGATTCTGAAACCTCTCGTCATGGTTCAAGAATATCTCCTTGTAAGACTTCATCGCCACGGAAGCTACTTTGTCGCGTACTCTGAAAGCATAGTGAGCTTCCTCTACATCTTCGTACTCTGGGAGAGACTCATGAATAAAGAGTCTTCCAGCAATGCTCTTTCAGAGAAGTGTTGCCTTATCGAACGAAGAGTCTTGCAACGGACACCACCTAGCTGCTAAAGAGATCTTGTTTGTTTTGCCGGATGTCAAGAGTTTGAGATCTTTCTTCAAGTAATCTGCGAATAGATCAGAGACGCGTCTGTGGAGGTAACGATAGTCTCTATCTTGAGAGTAAAAAACTTTCTTCCCCATTGAGATCTTCTCAGGCTTATGATCCAAACTAGCTTTCACCTTCTCCTTTTGATTTCTCTGTCTCTCCGTCCTTACTTTGTCATCGACAGAACTAGCCCTAGGTTCCATAAGATTATCAACAACTTCCACTTTGTTGTCAACAGACGAGTCCTAAGCCTAGTTTCTGTAATAGATTCTTGACTCATTCTTTTTGTTTTTTCTCTTTTCATGTTGTTGTTACCCAACTCATACGTCTCTTTCATCAAGCCTTTACCTCTCTCGAAGTACTGCCACATCCTAAGATTCCAACTTCGTTCATCTCTTGGATTTAGATTCGGGTCAAATATCTTCAAGTCTCCAATAATATATTTTTCCTTGCGTTTCTTCGTCTCATCTTCTTCATCCCAGCTTGCTAGAGTCTCATCTTCTATAAAGACATAAGTGAACTGTCGAATTTTAAAACTGGAGAAGCCTTGATCCAAGAAGAACTCCCCGATCCGCACAAACCACTTCTCTAGATCTTCTCCATAGAAGATCGACACCTCAATCATTGTCCCAATGGTTCTAAACCGCTCTGATACCAAATATAGAATCTCGAATTAAATAAAAGCTCAATAATAAGAATACTCTCTTATTAATCTCTTGAGAAAATTACTCAAAACTCAAGAACTCAACTCACAAACTCTCTTAAGGAAAACTCACTCAAAAACCTTAAGCTCTCACACAATCACAAAGACTCATCTCTCATCTCATAAGTTATGCAACATCATATGCATCTCCTTATATATATCTCTATATTTCCTAAACTCATTAGGAATCACAAATAGATATTTTCCTATTCTATAACTCAATAGAATTATCGTTAACTTATTTCTCAAGTTTCCTATTTTCTTNTAAGCTCTCACACAATCACAAAGACTCATCTCTCATCTCATAAGTTATGCAACATCATATGCATCTCCTTATATATATCTCTATATTTCCTAAACTCATTAGGAATCACAAATAGATATTTTCCTATTCTATAACTCAATAGAATTATCGTTAACTTATTTCTCAAGTTTCCTATTTTCTTCAAGCTTAATCCAACATTTTTTATTATAAATTTTCTCAACCACCATATTCCACCAGCTAGGACTAAGGTACCAAAACCTGGACTTGCACCTGCCAATCCCCCACAAGAAAATGATAGGTTCTTATAAAAGTTTTAAAGTTGCGGTTCAATTTCGAAGGAAACACTACTTACCAATCATTATTGGCTTAGTCTTATATCCCATGCAGCGATAGCCTCCAGGATAATTCTCACATTTCTCTGTTTCTTTACATTTGCTGGGTAAGAGGGTACATTCATCAACATCTAGATTGAAAGATCAGACAATAATAATTTCTTAATCAAGTAATGAAACAAATATTATAACTACAACATCTCTAGAGAGAGAGAGCAAAAGAAACATATACCTTTGCATCCATTCGATTCATATGGGTTACCAGTGTAACCTTGGTTGCATAGACAACTTGCATAACTAGTCTCAAAAATAGTGCTTCTGTCGCATGTACAATTTATGTTTTCAACGTAGTTATCGCTTCTGTTTATACATCCCAAAGAATCGAAGAACAAAGTATTATTCGTCTGGATTACCCATCCTAGGCTAATTGTAGCATATTTCTTAGCAAATAACTCTCTTGGCACTGTCGCATCAGCAAAGTGTACACTTCATCTGTTAAGAAGGCGACTCTACAGGGGTCATCTCCCGTTGTTGTCGATTTTACACCATTTCTCTCTATTTTGATACCAATAACTTGTCGAGGCTCTTAAGGTAGACTCGTCTGACAGCATCCGTTACCATCACATCCTGTTTCTTCCGGTCTGGTTTCTGTGCAATCGTTGGTGTAAGTGTAGGATAACATGTTGCTCGAGCACCCTATAAAAGGGACGCTATCGCTACTAGGCTCTTTGACCACACTGCAGTTTAACTCGCATCCTAACATGTTTGGCTCTATATGCGTCAACGACACTTTGGCGTTGCAACCAAACACTATGAGGTTGTTTTTACCAAGATTGAAAAATGGGGTACCCTTCAAGTTCATTACTAGTCCTGCAGACTCATTTCCACCCATGGAACATCCTGCGGATGTGATAGGGAATTTGACACGAACTGATGCCTGTAACTGAGAATCATAATAATAATTATTATATATAGGTGGAAGAGAGATATTCACAACTTTTACTTCTTGGCTATTTAGAGAGAGGAAAGGAGCCTCCTTTCTTGAAGAAGTGGTACTATTACATTTGATCTTGTAAGACTTCTCGAGATAGCAACTACTTTCGATTCCAAAAGGGTATGGGATCGGGACTCCTCCACATTCACGTCGACAGGGGCTTGAAGCAGAGAGAACTGCAGAATAAAGGATCATAAAGAGTAACATCTTAAAGACATAGAAGAGAGAGCAACTTTTATTTTTGCAGCTCATCATGTTTCTCTCTACTCAAAGAAAATTTGATCTTCTTCTTTGCTAAAACAGACAGTGGAGACAGAGAACAAAGTTCTCTCCACTAAGGGTCTTCATCTTGAAGTTTTTTAATTGTTTCTTTCATTGATCTGATCACTAATTTGGCTTTAAGCTTCATTTATCTGATTTTTAAAATTTGGTAGTGGAAAGTTTACTACTTTAAAGTGCTTTAGTTAGGAAAGATAGTAAAAAAACAAGTGTTCTTACACATGCAGTTTATAATATTAATATCGAATATTGATCTAAATTCAAGAGTGAATATATCAACAAAATACAGAGACAGTCTGTAAAGGTAGAGCAAATTAAAAAGAGATAATTGGCTAAAGTACCCTATTTGGCACCTATAATTAGAGAATTGCCCATGATGTGACAATCACTTTTTTTAGATCATTTTGCCTTTTTCTACACTCTCTCTCCTCTCTTTGACATCTCCCCTCATTTTTTTCTCTCTTCAATCCCTAATTATTTTACAAATCTCTATCATTCTATATATAATTAAATTTTAAATTTCATTATTTTTTCATAAGTGGCTTTGAATCCTTAATTTTGACTTTTTTTTTCTCTCTAATCCCTAATTATTTTACAAATCTCTATCATTCTATATACAATTAAATTTTAAATTTCATTATTTTTTTCATAAGTGGCTTTGAATCCTCAATTTTTTGATGATATCAATTTTCTGGGTTTTAGATTCGACGTCGTGTTAGCGGTTAACAAATATTGTAGACGTTAACAGAAGTGTTAGGTGTTAACAATTATTTTTATGCTTCGCGTTAATAAATGTGTTCGCTGTTAACAAATATTGTAGACGTTAACAGAAATGTTAACTGTTAACAATTATTTTTACGCTTCGCGGTAATAAATGTGTTGGCTGTTAACAAATATTGTAGACGTTAACAGAAGTGTTATATGTTAACAAATGTTTTTACGCTTCGTGTTAATGAGAGGAAAGAGAAAGGACATTCTCGGCATTTCCTTGCCAAATGGTTGTGTCAGTGTCCTTCATGTCCAATCAATGGTATTTTGCTAATTTGAACTTCAAATATGGATAGTTCACTAAATCACTCAATTAAAAACGTTTAAACCCCAAAAGCGTATAACAATTACCGTTTAAGACATTGTAATCGTAATATTTACCCCCCCCCCCCACTAAAACCCTTTTGTCTTGTTGTATAAAAACATACCAAAATCAAAACTGTAATTCATGCCAATAAAATTACCTTACCGAATACTCGCATCCACAAACATACACACACAATCTCTCAATCTTCACTGTGACACAAGCATCCACAAGCCTTGTTCTTCATCTAAGGGGGTCTTACTCAGACTGGTGTCCCGGTCTCAGTTGTTGCAGCTTCCTCCTTTATTTCTGGAGTGAGATTATTCCCATGCTCACTAGTCAAACCGCTGCTGCCATTAACCACTTCACTGGCTTCAACTAATGACGGAGAGTCTGTGACCAGTAAAGCAGAAACATGATGCTTAGTTTTTTTTGATGAAAATGTAATATACTTGTAACATGGTGATGAATTGAAGCCTTCAGAGTGAAAAAAAGTAAACTAAAACTAGGAAACTGCATCTGATAATCTTTAAAGGTAAAGAGAACTAAAAGATTTAGACACCAAATACATCTACTCTATTAAAATAGAATCATTCTCTTTATCTACTAATACAAGTTGTCATTTAACTTTGGACCCTTTCTAGAGTGTTACAAATAATACAAAGCATATAGTTAATTGAACCGTATTACTTAAATTAAACCGGTGGTTATTTATGGGATATAGTCTTGGGCTTTCTTTTGTTTTTAAAACAAATTATATGGTTTGGTTTTTGGGCTTAGTATTAAGGAAAATTCCAAAAAGCATTGAATAAACTTTCCACCTTACTAGATCAAAAAATCAATTATTATTTTCAGACCCAAAATTTAATATTTTTAACAAAACAAAATTATCTATTATTAATCATTTATTTAAATCATGTACTTTAAAACATGTTAATGTATTTTTATTTTAAATAACAATCACTTTTTTTGATAAATTTCAATGGTAAATTTTAAATAATTTATTGTTTTATTTTTCTTAAATAATTTATAGATTTAAAAAGAAAGTAAAGCAAAACCAAAAACTAACTCTAAAAACTAAAATCCAAACCAAAAGCTGAAAACGCAGGTTATATTTTTTGCTTTTGTTTATTTACAAAATAAACTATTGCAAATTTTTTTTAAAAAAAAAATTGCCATATTTTCAGCTTTAAATTAGATGTTTGATTATTTGAGATTTGTTTGTTGGTAATATCAGTTCAAACTAACTCAGCGGGTCTAAAAATTAAAAAAAAACTCAAACCAAAACCTGAAAATCAAAAATATAAACTTAAAACTAAAAACCAAAATTTTAAAACAAAATCTAAAATTAAAAAATGAAACTAAAAACTAATGAAAAAAAATCATCACCACAAACTTTGGTGAATTCATTTTATACCAAAAAAATTATTTAAATTAAGACAAAACCCAATTATATAAATTTTTAATCATAAAAAATTTTCGCGCTTTCAATCATAAAAAATTTCCGCGCTTTCAAGCGCGGGTCAAAATCTAGTTATTATGAAGACACGGTACATTTAAAAACCAAAATGTAAAAAAGTACAAATACATCATCTCAAACATAAATATAATTTATGTTCTAAACATGTATAGTTTCCAACACTCACGAATACAAATTAAAATATGTATACCTCAAACACACATTAATACAAAACCAAATAATTTAAATCTTGAACCAAAACTCACATTTGCAAATTTATTACCAAAGGTTTTGAAGGTGATCATCACATCTATTTACCATTACTCTAAAATCTGATAGACTCACCATGTGGGACGAGGAAATAATGGTTCAGCATCTGAAGAAGAAGGCGAAGCCACAATACCAAAGAATCTACCTTGTTTATCATATTACTAGCTTCTTCTTCTTCCTCTCCCTCCTCTTCATCTTCTTCATCAACGTGAATCTGCACCTGTGAATCCGCTGGAGAAGTGCAAATTCTCTCCAACTCCGTAAAAACTTCTCTCATATTTGGTCGTTTCTTTCCTTTCGAGCTCAAGCACACTAAGGCCAGGTTTGCCACTGCCATTACTTGTTCCGGTTTGCAATCCTCTTTTATTCGAGCATCTATAATGTCAGAAAGTCTCTTCTCCTTCATGGCAAGTCTGAAACGATCTGCCAAGCTTACTATTTCTCTAGTGTTTTGCACCATTATGACAGGCTTATCTCCAGTGATAAGTTCCGCTAGCATGACTCCAAAGCTATAAACATCACTCTTGTCTGTATATTGGCTAGACCGGTAATACTCTGGATCCACATACCCAACTGTACCTGAAACAATTGTTGTCCAATGAGTTTGATCTATAGTTATTGACCTTGATGTTCCAAAATCAGCCACCTTGGCTCTGTGCTTCTCGTCTAATAGTATGTTTGCTGACTTGATATCTCGGTGATATATCGGAGAACTTGCAGAAGAATGAAGATAAGAGAGAGCTCCTGCGACATCCACAGCAATGAGTAGACGCATTTTCCATATCATGGTGTAATCATCTGAGTCTTCATGAATATGCTGGAAAAGGTTTCCGTTGAGGATAAACTCATAAACCAAGATAGGAACTTCTGTCTCAAGACAACATCCCAAGAGTTTGACTACATGTCTATGGTTGATCTGGGAGAGAATCACCACCTCGTTAATGAACTCTTGTAGTTTGTCTTCATCTATAACTTTGGATTTCTTGACTGCAACTGTTCTACCATCTACAAGCATACCTTTGTACACAGTGCCTTGACCTCCATGTCCAAGAACTCTGTTTTCGCTAAAGTTTTCAGTGGCTTTCTCTAGCTCTCTTGAGCTAAAGATTCTTGTCTTTTCGACATTACCATCGCTTGTGTTTAGTTCTTGTTGCAACAGTAGTCCCCCATTACGTTTAAAGAACTTCTTCTTCCTCTTTTCCATCCTTCTCTTTATTAGAAACTTTCTCAACCACCAAACTCCACCAACTAAGGCTAAGACACCAAAACCTGAACCGACCCCTGCAGACGGCACAAGAATTTCATTGGTTGATCATCGATTGCTATTCCAACTCAAAAGTAAAATCCGGAAATTACCTATTAGTATTGATTTAGTCTTGTCGCCAACGCATTTATAGTGTCCAAGAGTATTTACACAATCTTGTCCTTCTTCACATGTATATAAACTCATTTTACATTCATCAATATCTGGGGTTGAGAAAGATCATAATGTTATAATCAAGTGATGATCATTAAAGCTTCACTAAAAAAAAAAGTAGAGCATAAGGAAGTAATACTGACCTACGCATCCATCCACAACATATGGGTTACCTATGTAACCGTCGTTGCATACACAATTTGCATAGATTATCTCAGAACGGTTGCTGACAATTTCGCATATACACTTTGTTCTGCGTTCAACCATGCTACTAGTATTCAATTGTGTTTCGTTTTTGCAGGCCAAGGAGTTGAGGTACGAAGTATTCTTCGTCTGGATGATCCATCCGAGATTAAGCATAGTATGTCCCTTGCCAAGTAACTTTTGTGGATTGGTGCCATTGGACAAATTGTAGGTTTCCATCTGTCAAGAATGCGACTCTACAATGTTCTTGTTTTGTCCTTTTTGTCAAGTTTCCGTCATTGCTCTCTATCCTGATACCAACAACTTGTTGAGGGATGTTTGGCAGAAATGCTTGACAACATCTGTTACCATTGCACATCGTGTCTTCTTCTGGTTCATCTTCTGTGCAAACGAGGTTGCTAGTATAGTAAGATAATACGTTGCTCGAGCACTTCCTTACGTTGCGAAAAGGGGTGCTACTGTTATGAGACTCTTTGATCATACTGCAATTCAAATCGCATCCAACAGTGTTGGGCTTTACATGCGTGAACGACACCTTGCTGTCGCAACCAACCGCTATGAGTTTGTTGCTGTTGTCAAGGAAAATAGGACTACCGGTCAAGTTCATTATTGATGCTCCTGACTCTTTTCCATAGGTGGAAGTGGAGCATCCAGCGTATGTTATCGGGTTTCTGATACGAACACTCCCATATGCTCCCATAAAAAAGTAACCTGCCATAGGAAGAGAGATACTCACAACTTCTTTGTTGATTAGTGAAAGGAAAGGGACTAGATTACTTGACCTAGTTGTACTACGACATTCAATCTCGTAAGACTTCTCTAGATAGCAACTATTCCCGATTCCGAAAGGGTATGGGATCAAGACTCCTCCACATTCACTTGGACAAGAGCTTGAAGCCGCGGACCAAAGGATCATCAACAGCTTGAAGAGAATCAAGAAGGGAGAGTAGTTTTTGCAGCTCATCATGTTTCTCTACTCAAAAAAGAATTTTTTTGATCTTCCGGAGTTTGTGTTTCCTTGCTGAAGCAGACAGCATATGTCAGTGGGGGAACAGAGAATACAGTTCCCTCCAATAATAGTCTTCGTCTTTTATTGATATGTCTCTTCTTTTCATCAGATCACACAGTAGAGTTTCTTAGCTTAATGATGGCGAGACAACTTGCACATGCAGTTTGTTTCTTACAAAAGTCACGTTCACATCATGAACATGAACAATCAATTCTTAAGAGATTATACCAAAAAAACTAAGAAACTGTAGCTCTTAGTATGATATCTAATATGAATGCATTAATAAACAGATAGACAATATGTAAAGGTAAAAGCAACTTTTTTAAAAAAAATCGTAGATTTACCCACCAAAACCAACTTATGGCATACCTGAACGCCTACTGATAAGCATCCAGAAACACACACACACAGTCTCACTCTATTCTCTCTTTAGCACAAACAAGAAAGCCTTCTTCTCATTAGCTCATTGGATCTTTCTCTGCTCGTGTGCCCCTCTGCAGCTTCTTCCTTTATCTCTGGAGTGGTGATATTCCCACGTTCACTTCTCGAGTTTCTGTTATTTACCACGTCACTCGTTTCAATCAATGTCGTAGAGTCTGAGACCAGTGAAGCAGAGACAGGAGGAAGATGTGAGTGCTCTTCTGAATTCTTAGGTTTATTCAGAACGTTACAGTAAGGGCAATAATACGTGATGTATGCGAAAGCCTCTTTCCTAGAAAGTCCTGCGCAATTATGTAACACACTGCAAACCATGTTAGAGGCCATCATATAGTAGAAGATTCAGGTACATGATTATGCTTGAAGAGCAAGTCACCGTTATGCATATGACAGTTTCCACAAATGAGTGCAAATGATGACTGTGTGGGATCATACGTGAGATCCAACTGTCAATGGGAGCCGCATATCCCTGAGGACTGTCATGCTAACATTGTAATTTCCAACTTTCTGTTCATAATCACCACTATCCCACAAAACACTGAGACTAGTCTTCGAACACATAGTCTCTATCTATCCAGTAACTATAAATGATAGCTGTTGAAAGCATCAGTACTTGCTTGATCAAAGTAATACAGTTAAAGTGGTAATCATCACTTTAACATCAATAATACTGACGGAAAACTTGTCTTTTGGTTGCTAAAGTTTAAATATGAGACATTATAGTAATAACACAATTAATTATAGTCATTTTAGTAATCTTTCCTAAAATTACTAATTAATTCCGAGATAAAGTAGCAGTAAGAAAGAGAATACTCTTGCACATGCATGCACCTTCTCACAAACAGTTATGTTCATATTATGGACCTGCAACTTTTAAGAATATTCAACACCGTCAATAATTTAAAATACAAGTTTGAAAAAAAAACGTATAGTTACCCACCAAAACCCGTTTGTCTTGTTGTATCAAAACTAATACCGCAAGCAACTTCAGATCTTACTAAATACCAATCCATAGCATAAGCTTTTACCTGAAGGTCGAGTAGATTTTATGAAATCACAGTTAATTTTGTCAAACATAAGTTACAAATACAAATACAACATGCTAAATCCTAAGCAGAAACTCAGACTTCCCGCAGACAGAGACAGTCTTACCACATTTACTACCCATACCTTTATACGAATTTATAAATTTTGTTTTGAGTCACCATGGGAGGCAAGGAAACAATGTTTCAACATCTGAAGAAAAAGATCAAAGATTGTTCAACATAGTCTCATACACAACCATAAAATAGGGGAAAAAAACATGTCTTAACACTACGGCAGTCATAAGCAGAAACTCAGACTTTCAACATAAATTCTAAAACAGTTATAGCCCAAACGTGTTAACAAGATCATCAAATCTGTTCACTACTACTTGAATATGATTGAGTCAGCATGTGGGAATAGTGGTTCAACCTCTGGAGAAGAAGAAGATGAAACCAAGGCTTGAGCAGTTATACCAACGCTCCAAGAATCTCCTCTGTTTATCATATTCCTAACTTCTTCTTCATCCTCTTCTTCCTCTTCGTCTTCTTCTTCATCCTGAATCTGCACGTGTGACTCCTCTGGAGAATTACATATCCTCTCCAGCTCCGTAAAAGCTTCTCTCATATTCGGACGCTTCTTTCCTTTCGAGCTCAAACACTTCATGGCCAGTTTTGCCACTGCCATTACTTGCTCCAGTTTGCAGTCATCTTTTATTCTGGCATCCATAATATCAGAAAGTCTCTTTTCTTTCATTGCAACCCTGAAATGATCTGCCAAACTTACTATTTCTTGAGTGTTTTGTACCTTTACAACTGGCTTATCTCCGGTAATGAGTTCCGCTAGGACAACTCCAAAGCTATAAACATCACTCTTATCTGTATACTGGCTGGACCGGTAATACTCTGGATCCACATACCCAACAGTGCCTGAAACAACTGTTGTCCAATGGGTTTGATCTATGGTTATTGACCTTGATGTTCCGAAATCAGCCACCTTGGCTCGGTGCTTCTCGTCTAGTAATATGTTCGTCGACTTGATATCTCTGTGATATATGGGAGAACTTGCGGAAGAATGAAGATAAGAGAGAGCTCCTGCAACGTCTGTAGCAATGCGTAGACGCATTGCCCATTTCATAATGTAATCATCAGAGTCTTCATGGATATGCTTGAAAAGGTTTCCGTTGAGGATAAACTCATAAACCAGGGTAGGAACTTCGGTCTCAAGACAACAACCCAAGAGTTTGACTACATGTCTATGGTTGATCTGAGAGAGAATCACGACCTCGTTGATGAACTCTTGTAACTTGTCTTCATCTATGACTTTGGATTTCTTGACTGCAACTGTTCGACCATCTAAGAGCATACCTTTGTACACAGTGCCTTGACCTCCCTGTCCAAGAACTCTGTTTTGGCTGAAGTTTTCAGTGGCTTTCTCCAACTCTCTGGAGGTGAAGATTCTCGTCTTTTCAACTTTGCCTTCACTTGTGTTTACTTCTTGTTGCAATAGTAGTCCCCCGTTACGTTTGAAGAACTTCTTCTTTCTCTTTGTTATTTTTCTCTTTATATATAACTTTCTCAACCACCATAGTCCACCGACTAGGGCTAATACACCAAAAGCTGCACCCACCCCTGAAAACCCCACAACAAGATGATATTAGATTTGATCGTACTTGCTTATCAAGGCTTTAAATTTTGCGACTGAAGAAAAATTAACCCAATTATTTTACCTATGAGTATTGCTTTTTTCTTATCTGCCACGCAGCGGAAGCTTCCTTGAGTATTCACACAAGTGCCTCCTTCTTCTTCACATGGTGAGCTTTCAACTTTGCATTCATCAACGTCTGCATATCAAAGATCATGAAGTTTTGGAATCTTGAGATGATTTGTAAAACTCAAAAGGATGCATTTGCGCACACACACACAAGAAGAAAAAGAAGGAGAGACTAGGAAGAAACATATTAGTGACCTTTGCATCCGTTCTTGATATAGGCGTTTCCTGTGTAACCCTCTTTGCAGCCACAATGTGCATAACTAATATTAGAAATGGTGGTTTTGTCGCAGATACACTTCATTTGGGATTTAGCAGAGGAAGTACCACGTTGGTACTCTTTCCTGTTGTCGCAGAGCAATGAAGTCAAGAATAAATGATTCTTCGTCTGGATCACCCATCCTAGTTTAAGCGTAGCATATCGCTTACGAAATAACTGTCTTGGTTTTGTTGCATTGGACAAAGTGTAGACTTCATCTGTAATGAAGGCCACTCTACAATCTTCTTCTGTTGTTGTCGAGTTTCCACCATTGCTCTCTACCTTGGTCCCAATAATTTGTTGAGGCACGTTAGGTAGACTAACCTGACAACATCCGTTACCATCGCATTCTAGTTCTTCCGATTTGTTTTCTATACAAGTGGCGTACTTATATGACAGAGTGTTGCTAGAGCACCCAGTTTTATCAAGAAAAGGGTTGCTCTTGCTAGGCTGGTCTTTGCTTCTACTGCAAGTCAACTCGCATCCCATCATGTTCGGCTCTATATGCGTCAACGAAACTTTGGCGTTGCAACAAACCGCTATGAGGCTGTTTGAGTCGTCAATGAAAAAAGGGCTCCCCGTCAAGTTCATTATTGATTCTGTAGACTCTTTTTTCTCGCTTGAACATCCTATGGATGTTATCGGGATTTTCACACGAACTAAACCATATGATAGAGTCCGAACTAAGTGAATTATTGTAGAAGTATTAGAAGTATAAGTAGTATAATAAGGTCCTGGAGTCGGAAGAGAGATATTGAGAACTTCTACTTGTTGGCCATTTACAAAGAGGAAAGGAGCCTGCTTTCGTGAAGAATTGGTACTACTACATCTGATTTTGTAAGGCTTCTCGAGATAGCAACCCTTGCCGATTCCAAAAGGGTATGGGATCTGGATTCCTCCACATTCACTTGGACAAGAGCTTGAAGTAGGGAGAACTGAAAGGACCATCAAGAGTAACAGCTTAAAAAAGATGGAGAAGAGAGAGCAACTTTGAATTTTGCAGCTCATCATATGTTTCTCTACTCAAAAGAAAATTCGATTTTCGTCTTGATAAAAGCACAGACACTGGAGACAGAGAATAAAGTTCCCTTGACTAGTACTGGTCTTCATCTTGAATACTTTTTAATTCTTAACTCTGTTTGTTCTTTTTCATCGATTGGATCACTAATAATTTGGCGTAAAGCTTTCATCATTTATCTGGTTGGTAGTGGGAAGTCTATTAACTTTAAAGTGCTTTAGTTAGAAAATATAGTAAAAACGAGTATTCTTGCACATGCAGTTTATATATATCTATCTTATTAAAGTAGAAGTACTTTAACCTTTTGTTTGGAAACATGGATAGCAGTATTTAAAATAAGTAAGTTTGGAATTTTTTGGTTCGAAAAATTGAACCGGACACAAATAAATTTATATAGATAAACAAACAGTTTCTATGTTTCTAGAACTAAAAAAACTAAGAACGTAAAGAACCTAATAAAAGCTGAACCGAAAATCACAACCCAGTCCTATTATATTCAATATGATAGTTCACATACAACGTGGATCACAATATCTTAAACACAGTA